TGAGGAGTGCCAGAAGATGACAGAAATAGTTTTTCGAATTGAAAAACCCATCAACAATTCCAAATCAATTCTCAGTAGAGAAGCACCAGTTTAATTATAAGTATAGAGACTTAAGTTCTGAAGATATGGGTATAAAATCTACTCTTTCAGGATGTCTGGTCCTAAAATTCAAAAAACCAAAACAAGTGACCAATTAACTCATTATAGGAAGTTAGGTCAGTTGTATGTATATTCGATAGATAGATACATTTTAGAACGTGCTAGGAATCGAATACTGATAGGTAAAAACTCGTTAATTCTTATTGCGAGTTTCGAGTAGTCGTTTGTATAAGGACGACAACTAGTTAACAAAAAAAAACCCATTATGAATTTTTAGCGTCATCCATGTATCTGACAAGTTAAAAACAAGTATTCCCAAACTCCCAAAACTATAGGATCTAGTTTGAGACTAGGGGCCGTCTATTGATCACATGATGTTTTTAAGCATTTATTAACTCCCCTCCCCCTTGGTGATACGTGGTGAGGTTATAGACTAACACCCAAAATCACGTGTATTTTTTAGTATTTACTTATACTTTGCAATAAATACACGTTATATACTACACCCCCTCCTCCCTTGTGATATTTCGAGACTTTTGCAACCCCTTCCTTTCAACCTTCACGTGATCAGTGGACAACCCCCTAGAAGGTACGAAGAGTGAATTGTTTTTTATTTTTGTCTTTTTAACTGAGAGAAACATTTGTCTGAAAATCTTTTCATGATTTCAGGATATGACGTTTACAATCTAGGTGGATTGAATGTTTTGTGGTAGTTTCCGTTTGTATCTGGATAAAGCCTGTGGAGTTGGAAGAGAAAATCTCGATATTTGATCCGTTTTCGTCCTCTTTTCGAAAGATATTATTATTATTGATGGGATGAGCAGCTCAGAAAATTCTCATATAGAAAATGTTGTCATTGTAATTGAGATGATATGACTTTTGCAACCCCCTCCCCCCTTTCAACCTTCACGTGATCAGTGGACAACCCCCTAGTGGTACGAAAAGTGAATTGTTTTTTGTTATATATGAGGTTTATAATCTGGATGGATTGAATGTTTTGTGGTAGTTTCTATTTATGTCTTTCTTTTGACATTGTCAATCAATTATTGAGTTCTTTAAAAAATGACGTTATCAATATGTTATTGATATTTTAATTTGACATTGAAGTCTGTTCTTGATCATATATTTTCTTTTAATGCCAATATGAAACATGTTTGTGGTTGAAATCAAACCACTCACTCACATAAAAAATGATTGTCAAAGACTAGACTAGTCACTTAAGTATTCTACTTCACCTCTCTATTTTTCAATTTATAATCAGATGCTTTAAATGCAAATTGTGAAAGATGTGTATTTATTCAGTTTGCTTGGAGATGAATTAAATCCATCATATTTTTTCACAATTCCATGGTGGAAAATATAAAATTTCGTTCTTCAAATAAAACAAAATTGAAAAATAATAAATTTTGAAATTAGTTAGAAATACGGCATTACTGTATATAAAAATGTATTTACAAATCACAAGTAACAACGATATATTTGAAATACTGATCATTTCTGTAGTTTTGCTTCTGGTTCTGGATGGGCTGCGATCCATTCCAAAGCTCTCAGGATCGCTGGAGGAATTGGAGGAGGTGTTGGCAAGATGCTTCCTTGTGGTTGGAATCCATCTTTATTGGCAATGTATGAGATTTGGATTTTAGAACCATCCTCACTAGGGTACTCGTACGATCCGGATACCTCTAACTCAGCATCTTCGGGGGTTGCTCCAGCTTTCACCTGCCCTACCTCCTGAGCACTGATGCCATTGCCAGTTTCGATGCTGCAAAATAAGTAATGAGTGTATATTACTTGCTGTGCTTATTTGAGATGCAGAATTTTTGTCGTTTGGACATCACACGTCTATGTTATAAAATAAACAGGAATTTCTGACATCACGATTCGACAGATGGCACAATGAAACCATCATAAGAATAGTATAAATTTTGATTAATCGAAACCTACAGAAGATATGAAATGTTATGCCATTCAAATATAAATTCGATGTAGAAAGTGAAGTGATTGAAATCACTGACACCACAGGATGATATATGTGTTGAGTTCATTTATTATATATCATTATTGAAAATATAACCAGATCTAACTACATGGCACATATAGCAATAAGAAAAGTATGAGATCTCCAGTTCTCCGAAATTTAGAAGGAGCAGTATATCATTATTCAAATTGAAAAGGAAATTTTTTTTTTGGAAAGAGGCTTTCTGGGTTTCTATTTCTCTATCATTGAATTTCTATAGAAAAGGAAAATATTTCCAATAAAATTTCTTTTGAAAAATATGTGGAGCTTTCACAAAAGTTTCTTTCGAATACGAATGTGCTTTTTCGAATGAGCAACGAATGGTTGATCGTCTGATTTATTGAGGATTTCAAGAGATTGACTCCTAACAACTACTGAGAAGTATTGAATTGAAAAATATTTCAATTGTATACACAAAAAAAACTGGTATGCTCCACATGCTTTACATCTGATGTTACTTCAATAGACCGCACCACAATACTGAATAAACTGTAACAACTTTGTGATTGAAAATTGTTCATTTCAAATCACTTAAGAACCTTAACTTTTTTTGTATTTTCACATTTGCCAATCTGAAAAATATCAAAATTATAATCTTCATATTAATTTACGACCATAAATCGATTAGAGAAATATATAAATAGATTAGTGTTACTTATTACAAAAGGCATTTCTTGAACGGAAAGCTCTACTACTCAGTATAGCCTTCAAGAATTCAAAACAACCAAAGTGGGATTTACCTTTCCAACTAAACTCAGTTGAAACTTTGTCTAAGATGGAGTTCAGTACTAAAATTGAGAGCAGATATCAATCAGTATGAAAATGGGAATATAAAATGATAAAATTGAATTTTCTTTGTCACTTACTTCCATTGATACGATCCGTCTGGGTTGACTCCTTCATTTTCATACCTTACAATTGGGATTGGTTCATTCGGTTGAGCAGGAGCACAAGAAACGGCAACGACTGCCAAACTCAAGATGATCTGCAAAAAAAATGTTTTGATTTCTCTAATGCAGTACGTGAAGTAGGGAAAACTCGAACAATCTTTTGAATAGAGGAGTTCGAAATACTCCAATGAGATTATCAGATTTCCATTTGTTGACACAACATTTTTGAAGTTTGAAAACTTTCTCGTTAATAACATGGAACTGTAAGATACGGACAACCTTTTAATGTTTTCTATTTGTGAAGCACAAAGACTTGCATAACCTTGAGATTGCTTAACATTTGCCAAGTTTAATTTTTGGAAATAGGTAAAAGTCAATGCGAGTTCAATAATTTCAATTATAACATTTGATAAAAGCACAAAATTATGTCACAAACCACGCTTAGCACTAACACACTGCATCGATTCGGCACCATTAAACTCATCGAATAATAATAGTTATTATATAACACATTGCACATACATACCAGTTTCATTTTAGCGGTAAATATTCTAAATCACTACTACGCTTGTTGTGGAGAAAATTATGATATTTATATTTTTCGTACTGACACTCCCACCTTTCGGTTTATCCCAAAATTGTGTTGTACATCACTACATACATCAATGACAAGTTAATTATTAACACACATGAACTTTAACACGAATTATGAAATTGCTAGTGGCTATTGAGAGGACAATTATTTTCTACGACGTACGTCATTGGGGTTCGTCAATGAATGAAGAGTTATTAATCGGATTGCAAACAAGTAGCAGAAGATAATTACTGTTTTGGAACAAATGATCTAAGTGGAAAGAAGAATGATGTTTTCAAATTGTTAATCTAGCGATTATCTTTCAAAATGGGAAAGGAAGATTGAAGTCATTTTAGACTTCTATTTAGGTCAGTTATTTCGCGGTACTGAAGCATTTCCACGTATTAAATTATTTGTATAATTGTATGTATTCAAAATCTTTTATTAAATTTACTGAGTTGCTTTCAGATTTACACAAAATAGAAATGAGAAAGGATAAGTGGAAATTTTTGAATATGGAGTTTTAGTAATTGTGGAGTAAAATAATCTTTGATCATTTCTTTGAAAGATTCCCACATTATTTGTATCACGATGGAGAAGTAGAAAACCAAAACCTTTTTTTCCCAAAAATAAACCTCTCCTGAAAATACACTTTTTCAATTCAAATAAGAATTCTATGACTGGGATTTATTCAAATAAGGGAATTGATGTTATTTAATGAAATGATTGATGTAGCCATGTTGGGAGATTATCATGAAAAATGAGAAATGAAACTTTCTATATTTTTTACCACTTTTCTTTGTAACTATTGTTACTGCAGTTTGGTCCTGTATAGACATTTCCGGAGTTTTATTGTATTAGTTTGAAAATGTCCATATAGAAAGAAACTGCAGTAACGATAGTTACAAACGAAAGTGGTAAAAAACAAAGAAAGTTTCATTTCTCATTTTTCAGAATGTTATTTACGTACTGGAATCAATGACATGGGTGGATTCAAATCATTCCGTGACAAAAAGTCGTATTTATGAACGAATTGGTTGTTCTTTCTTAAAATGTTATCCGTATTTGGTACTGAAAAGCCGATAAGGCAAGTGACTTGCTGCGAAACATTGGATATCTATCAGTGAGGATGACACTGTTTTATGAGAATTAAATTTTACTTCTTCCATTGTTTATATTATGTAGGAATTCTGTGAATGATATATGATTCGATTCCATTACGAATGTTTGGAATACAAACGGAATGAAGAAACGTGTTTTTCGTATAATTCAGCGTTCATATAAAAGTATTTTTTTCAAAAGTNGTTTGGAATACAAACGGAATGAAGAAACGTGTTTTTCGTATAATTCAGCGTTCATATAAAAGTATTTTTTTCAAAGTGTTTTTTTGTTTGTATGTTTGTATGGAGTAAATTTTTCAAATGGATTGCTTATTTCTTTTCTTTGGAAGACTCCCACATATTTTGTATCAAGATGGAGCAGTAGAAAGCTGAAACCTTTCTATCCCAAAAAAACCATTTTGTATAGTATTTTGGAAACATCACACAAGATACCTGCGTTATGAAAATAAGAAACGACCCTGAAAGTTTGTCGCATTCAACAATGGTGAGATGAGGTCTTCCTTATTTTCTATTGAGAACGTATTAGAAAACAGTAAATCATTCAATCATAAGCTCATAAGGCGAAGTTTAACTCGGTAGCAAGAAGTAGGTACTACTCTGTTGCTCTCTCACTCTTCTTTTACTAACAATTTTCTTGAACAGTTAATAAATACCTCATTGTATTGATAACAACATATTTTTATCTATTTCAATTTTATCGACATTGGAGTAACTCTAGTCCATCTTCAGTGTATTTGTCTGATAATCACCAGGTTAGACTCTCAACATTAGTTGGTAATTTCTTGAATTTGAAAGGTTGAATTTTGAAGGTTAAAAATATCAGTCATTAGGAATTTGAAAAACTCGAATGTTTTTCTATCAGCAACCTTTTTCAGACACTTTATGGATATAAATTTTGCCACTAGTATTGCTACAACAGTGGATTGTCATGTAGCTGTAGTTGTCTGAAACTACTGGATTGTTGCAACTTTGTAGTTTTTAAATTTATTCAATTTCTACACAAGCTTCACACCTTGCCGCTACGTCTAATTTCACTGTACAGCTGCTATGATTGCAGAAAAATCAAAGTTTCGGAAATACTCCACTTTGATTAGTTCCTACTGTTTCTTTCCTGTTGCTATTGAAACCTTTGGTGTTTTTGGATCTCATACTTCTGAATTGTTGAAAGAAATTGGTAGAAGAATGATGAATTTTACCAATGACAACCGAGCCTATTCTTTTTTAATTCAAAGAATCAGTATCGCCATTCAAAGGGATAATGCCACATCGATACTGGGTACTCTTCCATCTACTAAAAAATTTTATGAAATATTCCTGAACCCACAAATCAAATCAAAATTTCCTATGAACATCGCAAAATGAGTAAGCAGATTGATCATTTCCCAATTGTTTTAGAAGATGCAGATGAAAATAAACAAGTTCTGGAATTATCTTTCTCCCGCAAATACGAAAAAACCACCATGAATATATCTGATTCAGTTTCAAGAAATTCAACTTCAAATTTCTCATTCTGTTGGTCCAATGATGGGAAGAATCATTGCCTTCGTGATTACTGGAAAGAAAACAGCGGTGGCGAACGTATCACCAACAGCCACAACACAATTAGATCAGTGATACGTTCCTCAGTCAAAACCCTTGGGCTTAATGGGTTGAAAAATATTGGCAACACCTATTTCATGAACAGTGTAATCCAATGTTTACCAAATACGAGATGGTTACTGGAATATTTGAAAAAGGATAAGTACATTAAAGATATCTCTACTAATATTTCTAGTACGGAGGGTGTTTTAATCAAAGCTTTCGCAGAAGTTATCAAGGAATTGTGGTCAGAAGATTCATTTGATAGAGCAGTGAACACAGTCTCCTTAAAAAGTCAGATTGAGAATTTTGCCCCTCGATTCAAGGATCATGCGCATCAAGACGCCCAGGAATACCTTCGTTATCTTTCGGAAGGTTTACATGATGACGTTAATAGAATTATTGAGAAACCTAAACCGACCTTAATGGAGATTAACGAAAACTTGAGCGACAGCGGAAAAGCACAAAAATCACAAAAAGAAGAGATTTTTTAGGTGCACCATCCTACTGAAAAACTATTTCGTCTTTGAATAAATTTATATCCTCCTCAACTGCCCTAATAATGCACGGTACTATTCGATTCTCTAACATACCAAATATTTATCACTAGTCAAATTATCATCGATGAAAAAGGTCCTATGATGTGGTCATCAAAAATTCCTGCCCAAATATTCAGTTTTTTAAGTCGTTGGGTATGAACTTGACGGTATGAATGAGGATTCGTATCACTCCAAAATCGACAATTTTGCCGATTCACCTCTCCATTCAAACTAAACGTACATTCATCCTGTAAACAAATTTCATGCAAGAAATTCTGATGCAAGTTGACCGTTCAGTGAGACTTTCACAAAACTCGATAAGTCTATTGATGTCATCTTCGTTCAATTCATGAACTAATCTAATCTTATATGGATGAAATTTGTACTTATGAAGGATCCTGAAAACATTTGTCTGACTGATTTTTGATTCTTGAGTTTTTCATTACTCCAACGTGCCCTAAAATTGCAGTACAAATTGCTTCATCGTTGACAACTCCTGAACGGTTATGCTTTTTATTGTTAATAAATCTAGTTTCCACAAATTTGTTCAATAATAACGAAACTTATTTGTGTCGTACATTTTTCCCTTGATGATTATCATTGAACTTATAGGCAGCAGCTCCAGCACTATTTCCATTCTGCACTATTTAAAACTCGAAGCGTATAAAACATTGCTTCTCAAGAATTCATAAAAAAAGAAACAACAAATGACACGATGAGGGACTGCCAATGGGATCGCCACTTTCACCAGTCATAGCCAACATATATATGGAGTGGTTTGAAACTCTAGCCATCGAAGAAGCCCACAAGAAATCTCGAGTCTGGTTGAGATATGTTGACGACACCTTCATAATATGGAACCATGGGAATACTGAACTAGACGCCCTCCTGAAACACATCAATAGCGTAAGGCCTTCATCACTTTCACAATAAAGAAGGAAATCCACAACGAATTGCCATTCTTAGACGTTTTGGTGAAGAGGACTGACATTAAGTGGGAAACATTTGTATACCGAAAACCCACTCATACGGACAGTATCTGAACCACGATTCCAACCACCATCAATCGACTGAAAGAGGAATCATCAAGACTCCATTACACCGTGCTTTTGGGCTCTCTAATACGAAGGAAGGTCTCGAGAAGGAACTAGACATCATCAAAAATGATCATCAACGGAATGGCTACTCCAAAGCGATGGTAGAAAAGACTTTGGCTANATAATACACCATAAGTTCCGTCTCTCATAAACGTAAAGAACATACTACTTTTCCTACCAATATGGTTCGTTTTCCTTATTTCGAAAAAAAAAAAAATGCGCCGTTGCCGAACTATATAATTTGTACCAGTATTTACAAACTTCGAACGATACGGAACACTGTATACTATTGTTGAGGTGTTTTTATATTTTTCCGAAAGTTATTCAGGGTGGTTCGTTTTCAACTCAAATAATTTGTAGCTCCCGAACCATAAGCTACATACCATATGTTTTATACTTTGTTGAAATCTGCTCATCATGGAGCATCTGATGATGCGAAAGTATATAGAGTGTTCCATTTAAAAAAAATTGGTAACATGATCTAGGGGTGCGATAGGGGAAGTAACATCAAATGTAAATATGTCAAAATGTGTCCCTCTGTATACTATGACATATTTTTTTATTTTTCCAGCAAACATTGTACCAAAATTTTTTATAGGTGGCTCGTTTCAAATGGAATGCACTCTATACTGATGAAAGAATAGAGAGTCTAAAGATATGTAACATTTTTTTCTCAATTCAACCACTAGAACGTACATATTGAAAGTTCCAAACAACAAATTTCATT